TAATTATTGAGGAAATAGGACTAATACATAAAACTAGAGAGCTTTTTAAGTTGTTTTTACAGCATTTATTTTATCTAACTTATACAAATATTTTTTTTTAAAGCGCTTTTTTTGAAGATAGAAATTTTTGCGATAATTTGTGCACGAAAAACGGGATATCTCCAAAACAATCAAATCAAATTCAATGAAATTTACAACTTATATGTTATGGGCCTTTCAGAGTGTAACAAACCGTAAGTTTTAAGACACCTACATTTAATCACATTTTACAGTCATTTTTAGCTTAGAACATGCAGTAATTTTGATGAAAAATCATTAACATCAAATTTAAAGGCTAATAAAATATTTATTTCTTAAATTTTTTTTATTCTGCGGTTTGTGACTCTTCAGGAGGACCTAGAACTATTAAAATTGTATAATGTGTAATTTATTTTTATTTATGACGTTTTTCTTAACTTTAAAAATTTTGCTAAAATTTCATAAGAATAGTATTTTTTTTTTCAAAAACAAAGGGGGACTCATGTTACTTATTTAATAATTCTGACTTTTTAAGATCTTTAAAACAATATTTTTATTCCGACAAGACTATTTAGGCTCTTCAAAACAATAAATTTATTCCGAAAATCAATTTTTGAAAAATTGGACTCCGAACCTAGTCGGATACCTATGTTCTACGTTTTGTTTCAAAATTTTTAAAAATAAATTAATTTTATCATATATAAAATTACCCTTAGAAATGTATTTATGCTATTTTCAGAAAAATATAATGGAATAACTTTGCTTAAATTAATGTTGATTAAATATAAGGCGGCTTTGAAAAACTTCCATTCTACCTGCTATCTCAAAGACTATTCATGTCTATAGTGCAGTATAGTCTTCCGCTACGGCTGCTATCTTAAGCGATTGTTTTTCGTTAGTGCTATAAATTCGTATTCGAAATGTGTGTGTGTGTGTGTGTGTGTGTGTGTGTGTGTGGTGTGTGTTTGTGTGTGTGTGGTGTGTGTGGTGTGTGTGTGTGTGTGTGTGGTGTGTGTGTGTGTGTGTGTGTGTGTGTGTTACTTAAAAGTACGACGTAAATAAACATTCACTCACGCCATCTATTTCGTGGATGCAATGTTAATCTATGTAATTTCTTATCTTTTTTTTATATGAGCTAAATTATTTCAGATTCTTAACCTAGATTATTATGCTTATCTAAACACAATAAAAATGCAAACTAGGGCAAAAACTAGTTAAAAAAATATATCGGAAATTAAACTTTTTCTTCTGTTTTTTTCCCCTAAAATCTTTTAAAACATTTTTGAAAGATCTAAAAAATTTTTTAAATAATTGTTCATGTTTTTATAAATTCGAGAAAAAAATGTAATTTTCATAAGAACCTTCGTTAGTTTTCGCACTTTCGGATACACTTTGAATGCACTAGTATAGGGGAAATAGAGTAACTCTACTGAATCAACGAAACTTTTACGAATTCATAGCTAGCAGACTGAATATTTAAGCTGACAATCTGAAGAAGTCAAAGTTGAGGATATTCGATCTATATACATAAAATAAAATAGTCAATTATTGAATCAGTATTTTGTAAATTATTATAACGGAGAAATTAGTTTTACTACCAGGACATCACTAGTACATCACTTTGACTAGAATTTGAAGGAATTTATTTCAGACTAAGAGTTTTATATATATATATATATATAATATATATATATATATATATATAATAATATATATATATATATATATATATATATATATCTTGTAAAATTTTCAATTGTTGATAAAATACTTTCTATTCATCCATTCATGTTCAAATGCATTTTTTCAAACTTGTAGTGGATGACCCTTAATGTTAATTCAGTTTTTTCCAAATATTAATCCATTGATTAAATCTAAAAAATTGAATAAATAGTAACAAAAATAATAGTCCGACTGCATATATAGAAAGAAAAATTGTTTATTGTGTCCCTGTAGCGCAATGGATGTTGGGTGCGTTGAACTTCTATTCCAAAGGTCGTGGGTTCGAATCCCACCTGGGATGGCCTAATTTCAGAGAATGTGATTTTTTTTTACTGTACTATTTTATTAAATTTAATGATTGAACCATTACTACTGAAATTTAATGAATGAATAAATAGTAAAACAAATGAATAGTCCAACACCCTATAGAGGAAGGAAATTGGAAAATTGCAAGAAAAATCGCTTTTTATTTTGTAATTTAATGATGTGATTCTGTCATATGTATATGCATATTTATATTAATTGAAACAATTTAATAAAACTAACTAAAACAAAATGTTTTTTTGCTGACCTAAGTAGGAATTGACCCATGTTTTGTTTTATTATATATTTAACGTCAAAATAAAGTATTATTTTATTTAATTTTTGTGATAAAGTATGATAAAAAAAATTAAAAAGACGTGTTCTTTTTGTCAGAGAATGACTATTAAGGTATCCGACTACCCTAAAATTGTGAATTTTGCCAAAAAGTGACAAATTTCTTATGATTTTATTTTGTAGGCCATTCTATTAGCTTTATAAAAATACCAAATTTATTATTTTCCGTTCTCTTGAACAAAAACTACAAGTGTTTTAGTAAAAGCAGATGCCATTACTTTAAACAAGATGTCATACGTTAAAACGCGTTTTACTCGAGATGTGTTTTTTGAAAATGCTCAAACGGGGCCAGCGATTGCTCAAAAATTTTTGAGAATAATTAACTAAAATTTTTTTGTGCTTGTTCTGTATAACAGTAGAATTGTTTTAACCTTCAGATTTATCAATCACTGTTTTATTCCAAAATTTACAGTCCCTTATGTGAATATAATCCCTGTTTTTTTTAAATTAATTTCATTTAATAACTAAGATTAAGTGATCTAGTTTTTGTCAGCTCAGATGGCATCCCCGTCACTTGACTGAGGTTGAAAATTATGAAGTCCATCACCAATAGCTCTCGTGTTGCTTAAGAATGCTACGTTAATAAGAACTCTCTAAAGAGTGAGATCATAATGTAGTTGCTCTCATCCGACCACTCTTCAAGAGGCACAACTTCCAGGATTGATGAACATAGACGTCAATGCCTTTATGTACATCTCTCAATACTTTAAGCAGGGGCGTCTTAAAGCTATTTTAGGCCCTGGGCATCAGAAAAATATTAAGATTTTCTGAGACCTTGGGCCTCTATGCAAAAGTAGGCTCTATATGTGATTTTTAAAAACAGACAGTATATACCATGCATTGTCAAACACTGGTACAAATAGTTTGAAACAAATAAATGTGCACGACACAGTCTCACAAACATAGGCACAAACTGGCCAGGGGAGATACTACTGCATTGCAAATGAAGTGGGGCTCCCAAGCTACAGGGGCCCCAACAAAGCTCGTAAGATGTTAAGAAACCTCCAAAAGGAGTCCCCAAGGAATTTTGATACAGGGCCAACTCAGGACTAGCCACGCCAATGGAACCGGCTCGACCGATGATCGTATTTCGACTAAATGAGTTGAATGATTATTTAGGGCATTAGACCTAGGTTTAGACACGGTAATGGTCATTACATAGTAATACAGTCTTTGAACTTATGACAGTTGACTCGTTGTTTGAAATTCTCTGTTTTTTTGGAGAATATTTGTGAGAATAATATTTGACCATAAAAGTTATCCGGATCATGATCTTATTAAAACTAAGTCGAGAACAAAATCTCTCACCGAGGGCGAGGCCCTGGGCCTGGTTCATGCCTTAAGACGTCCCTGACTTTAAGTCATTATTAAATAATACTTGTATGCGACTACTAATAATACTTGTATGAAATGTCACCCTACAAATACTAGTGTTTTGAATACAAATACAGAAGTTAAAATAGGCTGTGTAAAATAATAAAGAAGGAATCCTAACAAAAGGAATATGTGCTTTGTAGATGAATATTACGTTTTACTTACGAGCTCTATATGGGGTGTTTTTGTACTAGTTTTAATGTTGTTGTTTTTTTACTATTTACAGCGACTTTCTTCAGCACTGTGAAAAAAATTCATAAAATTAAAAAATAAAGGAATTTACGCCTTCTACTTTTTAATTCCTGGAAATGCTATAAAAAAGGTGAGAATTAGAAAAAACATAACTTCTTCAAAGGTGTGAAAAAATTAATACGCGATAATTTATGCAGGTCAACTGCTTTAGAACAAACGCGTATAAAAACAATGCAATTTTTCTAAGAAAATCTTCAAAACTTTTCTCACGTCATTCATTCACACATGCCCGGAAAAAGGAAATAAAAAAACCCGACATAATAGATTTTCTATTTTCTTATCCATTTCTTACCAGAGCCCATGCTTTTGCTTAGAGGAGCGTGTATAACGGTAGTTAATATGCAATCATTCCGGCGCAAGGGGAAAAAAATAAGCCAAATTCGAAAAAATATATGAATAAATTAAGTGCGAACTGAACCAAAAAACCAATATCTTTCACATTATCCAGGAAGATAATAGCCCCGTGGAGCAATCGCTCAAATAAACGTGCAAAATTTCAATAATAAATATGTGTGCATGTGTATGTGTGTACGATCTGTTGAGCCGCAGCCATGATAATTAGAGAGCAAAAGGCCTGCATAACAAGAGCTCGTCTAACGACCAATACACACACACGCGCCACAAATAATAAGAAAATAATCATCGGGCTCGCGTAGAAAAAGAGTTCGTGGGGCGGAGGGGTACATCGGAGCGTTTAATGCTAACACCTGATGTGTTCTTGATCCCAATCTTCATTCATCACTTGGGAGAAGGGGTGGGGAGAAAAGGGAACGAAAAAAAACTTAAACGCATAAAAAAGACGGCGAATAAAAATAATAAAAACTGAATTTGTTTAACGGTTCGCGCTACCAATAAGCATCAACCTAATGAATTTTTTAAACAAAAAAACGGAGGGTTGAAAAAAAAATTAAATACAAAAAAAGGCACGATTGTAATAGGGGGAAGGGGTGGGAGAGTTTTTTTTTTTCTTTCTTTTCGCTTTCTTTCTCTCATTTCTATTTATGTTTTTTTATACACACCCCGGCATGTAATTTGTTAATTCGAGCTTCGCATGTTAAGATCTAATTTTCACTACCTCCGTAGTCATCTGCATTGCTAAACTGTGAGAAAATTGCGGAAAATTCGGATTAGAAGGATAGAGGAGGGAGGGGGGAGCAAAAGAATATTGCACAGGTGAATTAAAGATTGCAGCGTTATGGACTTGAGGAGGATTATTTTTCAATTTGCATGGCTTCTTCTTATTCGGATTTCTCCAGAGCAAAAATTTTTAAGTTAAGTTTTCTGCTTTTCTTGAGGGAAGAGGGAGAGGAAACAACAAATTGCCCAAGACGTCAAAAGTGTGCTCATTTATAATGTCTACATATGCAGGTTGTTTTTCGTGCAAATTTTTATCGTTTTCTATTATTTTTTTTTTATCTTCTTTTTGGTGTCTGTGATACTTAAGTTCTGTTTTTATCGCCTGCTTGTTTTTATTGTTATTTTCGTTCTAACAATTAATTCGAGAAAAAGAATTTTAAATTTTTACACAATTCAAGTTATCCGGGCTCTTTTAAAGTACTTTATTATGGAAATAGCATATTACAACATTATAAATACTTTTTAGGAATCAATACTCTTATAAATGTTAATATTTTATAAGAATAGGCTGTAAGAAAGGTCTATCCTCTCTCTGTCCAACCAAATTGGCACTTTGAACTAAAACAACTCCACTCCGAAAATGAATGTCATTACTAAATAGTAATGACATTTAGTAATAACATTCTAATAATAAGTAAGTTAAAGTTGTAACGTGATCAATATTAGCCACATTACACAGTTTCTGAATTATAGTCGCTATTAGAAGATGCTGGAGGATATCTCTTTGGAGAGTTTCATGATTGTATCTCATTTCTGATAAGTAACTGTTATTTCTTATTATTTAGTTGTTTTGACTGCTTATCTCATACTTAATTCTAACGCTTAAATTAATAAAATTGGTCATGGTGAATATAAGACCAAATACATGCCTTGCACAAATTATGTTTTTACAATTCACATTTTAAAATTGAGGAGTATAATTTTGAAGTTGTTGACACTTATTTAGGTTCTCAAATTAACAGTAGAAACGAATGTACCACTGAAAATCCAAAAAAGAATTACTATGGCTAATAGATGTCTTAATTAATGAATATATGAAATCGAATTTAATCAAAAGAAAAACGAAGGTTCTATAGCCAAAAGATAGTTCTGTTTAATAAAATGGGGGGGGGATGGTGTTCGGATTGAAATGGGTCATTTCAACGTGCTTGAATACCTTAACTTTTTTATGAAAAATAATATTTGTAATATATATTATTACAGAAATGAATAAAAATTTGCAATTTATACGATTGTTGATCAGGTTATTTGTATAACAGTCTGAGTATAACATCAAATCTGATTTCAACAAAAAATATTCGACGAAAATAGATTGTTTCAAGACGATTGAGAAGTTGACTATTTTGTAGTGAAAAACAAGCATAGTTTAGTAATTGTTTGATTTGTCATGAATATAAACAGGAATCATTCATTGACACTTTTCCTCGAAGATCCCTTTCAAGACATGATAAATAGGCTTTCTTGAATAATCTTTGCAACAACAACTAAGTGTTTTGTCAGTGGTAATGTCACAGCGGTAACAAAGGCACCCTGTGAAAATTGTTATATTATTGGTAATCATATGAAACCGTTTACTGATACAGAAATTGTGAAAGATTGATTCTTGAATGCTTCAATTTAGAAAAATTCAGTGACAAAAAAAAATAAGTATAAAAAGTAATAACTAAAAAAGTTAAATATGAGTTTTAATATTTTGGTCAATTTCCACATCTTAAATTTTCTATGTTATCTTAATCGTAAAGCGTTTCCCCCCCCCCCATTAATCCTCATGTTGCGGTCCTCGAGAAATAGCTAACATATGTATGCGGCCCAGCAGAAAAGAAGGTTAAGTACCCCTGATTTAAAGCACAAGATTTGAGTCTACCATATTTTGAAACAAAT